TCATCTCAGGGGATCCCTGCTGAAGTCTTCATACAGGCTCTCTCTCTCTCTCTCTCTCTCTCTCTCTCTCTTAAAAAAAAAAATGCTGGGAATGTGGCTCCGTGGTTAAGTGTCCCTGGGTTCAGTCCCAGGTACCAATCATCATCATCATCATCATCATCATCATCACAACAGATGCAGTGCTGAGAAGAATAACAGTAGCCAAAGCTGAAAAGATATAAGAAGTACAGTAAGGAGGGCAGAAGGCAGGCACGGTGTGCAGACCTGTAATCCCAGCTATTCAGAAGCCTGAGGCAGGAGGATCACAAGTTCAAGGCCAGCCTGGGCAATTTAGTAACATCCTGTCTCAAAGTAAAAAATAAAAAGGGCCACTGGAGCCGGGTGTGGTGGCACACACGCCTGTAATCCCAGCAGCTGGGGAGGCTGAGACAGGAGGATCGTGAGTTCAAAACCATCTTCAGCAATGACAAGGCACTAAGCAACTCAGTGAGACCCTGTCTCTAAATAAAACACAGAACAGGGCTGGGGATGTGGCCCAGTAACTGAGTGCCCCTGAGTTCAATCCCTGGAACCCCCTCCCAAAGGAAAGGGCCCCTGGGTTCAATCCTCAGTACCATGAGAAGAAACAAAGAAGGAAGAGGAAGGCAGCTCAGCTTCCAAGGAGCTGGGGGTCTACAGAAGAAGGAACTAAGGTCCAGAAAAACAGATGAAAAGCAAAGAGGCCACTTCTTGCTTTCCCAGGCCCAGAGGACGTCAGAGGGAAAATCAGTTACTGCTCAACCAGACTCTGGGAATGCTACACCTTCATCAGAGAATCTGACATTTCCAATAAAAAGGCGACAGCAAAAGTCTGAGAAGTGAGAGGGTACAGGGGATTTTGCAGATGAGAGACTTAAGTTTCAGAGGATGGCTTTGTTTTTTAAAAATCCATACTCATACACTGCTAAGTACCTGTGAATTTTCAGAAAGGAGGAGAAAGAAACTGCTAGCCTAGAATGACGGGCCAACCCAGAGTGGATGAAATTTAAATCCCAACTCATTCCTTCCACTAGACAGAAGGATGGCCCTGTCGGGCTCTCTATTGCGGGGATCCCAGAGACGGTGGGAAATAGTCACAAGTGTTCCCTATGGACCTCCTACACCGAGAGTCTAGACTCCATGGATTTAGCTGTTTTCTTTATTTTCTTGTGTGCATGTGTGTGAGACAGAGAGAGAGAGAGAGAGAGAGAGAGAGAGAGAGAGAGAGAGAGAGAGAAAGTTAATTACTGGGAGTTAAATCCAGGGGTACTCTACCATGGAGCTATACCCCCAGCCATTTTTTAAATTTTGAGACAAGATCTCACTAAGTTGCCGAGGCTGCCCTCAAACTTGAGATCCTCCTGATTCAGCCTCCCACGTTGCTGAGATGGCAGGCATGTGCCACCACGCCCAATTTTGTTTTCGCTTTTAATAATCCCATTCCCACTGCTGGGCCTCAGTATCCATACATGTGAAGTGAGGAGTCTGAACCATGTTTTTATGTTTTCTCTTGGCCTCCTTCAAGCTCTGAGGGTCTGTGAATGACCTGGAAGCCATCTCTGGGGCCAGTCCTGTACTGGGGAAATAAGACCAGAGAGGCACACACAGACACAAGAACCCAACAGCATTTTTTAATGGGAGTACAGAACCCAGTTGCACAAGCACAGTATCTTTGCTTACCTAGTCTGTGTGTGTGTCTCTCTCTCTCTCTCACTCACACACACACACACACACACACACACACACACAGAAAACCCAGAACCATGTACGCATGCAGTCACTCACATCCTTTTATTTTAGTTTGTTTGTTTGTTTGTTTGTTTTTGAGGTCCTGGGGATTGATCCCGTGACCACTGACCTACATCCTCAACTCTTTGTTATTTTTGATTTTGAGACAAAGTCTCACTGAGTTTCGTGGGTTGGCCTCCAATTGGAATTCGCCCCCCCACTGAGACCCGGTGTGCGCCCCCATGCCTGGCCTCCCACCCCTCCTGTGGCTCACTGTCTACTCGGCAGTCTCCCCTCCAACACTCAGGGTCCCACCAACACTGCCTCCCTCACAGAATCCCGGCCCAGAGACCTCCACCCACCTTGAGCAGGTGAGGCAACTGCTGCGTGGCTAGTTCCTTAAACTCGTTGACGCTGAGGCTGCCCTTGCGGCCTTCCCGCCCTGCAAAGGTGAAGAAAGTGGTGACCACCGTCTCGATGGCCGCCTCCAGCTCAGTCAGTGGCTCGGCCGCCATGAGGCCCCTGGGGTTGGAGCTGAGGTGCTCACACAGCTGACCTGCAGGACGTGGGGGAGCAGAGGGGGAAGAGTCAGGCAGTCCGGGATCCAAGGATGGTGCCTCTCCGGGGTGTCATTATAAGAAAGAGGGAGGGTTCAGAGGTTGAGCTTGGGGTCGGGGACCAGGCAACAGTATCTCAATTTAAGTTTAGTCCCAGAAAACTTTCTTCTGGGGGTCACGATCTGAGGGTCCTTTATTTTGGGGTGGGGCACTGGGGAGGGAACCCAGTGGTGCTCTGTTACTGAGCTACATTCCCCAGCCCTTGTTTTATTTTCTTTTTTTTGAGGCAGGGCAGGGTCTCAGTAAATTGTCCAGGCTGGCCTCTAACTTGTCTTCTTGCTAGGCGCCCCCAGAAGCTGGGTTTGCAGTTGCGGGCCACCACACCTGGTCTCTGAAGGTCCTTTTTAAGAAGCCGGCTATGCGGGTTCAGGTGCCAGTGATCCCAGCAGCTGGGGAGCCTGAGGCAGGAGGATGATGGCAAGTTCAAAGCCTGCCTCAGCAATTTAGCAGGCTGTCAGCAACCTAGCCAGACACTGGCTCGAAATTAAAAATAAAAAGGTCTGGGGGTACGGCTCAGTGGTGAAGCCCCCTGGGTTTCATCCCAAAAAAGAGAGAGAGAGACCCTCTGGTGATCCATCAAGTATGGTGATCCCTCTATCCGGGGAGAGGTTTTTCAGTTTGCAGTTCCTTCTTCAAAGTCCTCGGGGTCTGGTGGCCCTCTGATGGGGTTTCTCTGATGGCCCTATCTTGTCTCTCCCAGTGTTAAAGGGTCAGGAGGCTGTTTGTCTCCACAGTTTGTTTACAGTGGGACCTGCGGTCCGCCCACACGCTGGTCACTCCTTCCAGCAGAGAAGCTTAGGGTTGGCACAAGCCCAGCGGTGGTCAGGGCTGGCTCAGTCGGGACAGATCCCCTCCCCTACCCCTCCTTGGGGGCAGCTGGACCGAGAGCTGGGACGAGAACCCCTCATGCCCTTCCCACCCTGTCTCCAGATGACAGGTCCTGGCGCCAGGTCCTCTGATTCTGCGAGCCCACAGGGGCACCCGTTCCGGCACTCACGTCCCCTGGGGGCACGACAGAAAGCTGGAGGAAAGGGACAAGCCCACGCATCCCTCTCCTTTCCGTCCACCCCCCCCACACACACACACACACAGGCTCCTGCGGGACGGCTGCTTGCTCTCCCCAAGCCATTTCCTGAATCCCTGTCCCAGCCGGCTCTGGGGGAGGGACCGGGAGCCAATGGGGAAGAACGGATCCCCAGACAGCCCCTGGGTGGGGACGGGGTGCGACTCACCAGGGTAGGAGATGGGGTGCTGCGGCGGAGACGCGAGGCCGAGGTTTATAAGGCCTGCCTGCGGGAGGAGGGCGCCACGCCCAGCCCGAGGTGTCCAGTTTCCTAGCTGATTCTCCAGGGGGGACCGCCCAGTCACGCCTCCCGCTGGCCTGGGGGCTGGGAAGCCTGGCCGCCCGACCACTCCCGCAGGTTTCCCAGCTTGGGGGGGCGCCCTGGACAGATCCCATTAAGCAGGGGTCCCAGAGTCCATCACTTCCTTTACGGGGGGGGGGGCTGCTGCCCTACCACACCCCCAACAGCTAACCCGGAGGGGGGCAGGGATGACAACCACTAATTGAAAATCCAACTGGAGCTCAGCACTGAGAGGCCAATCTGCAAAACCCCACAGAGACCCTGCAAGGGCCACTGCGGCCCACACTCCTTCCAAGGACTGCAAGCTCCGGCACCACGATGGGGGACCCAGGCCACAGGGGCAGAGCAGAATCCCAGATTGGGAGATCTCAGCAGTCCCAAGACTAAGTCACTCACTGAGCGAGACCCGTGGCCAGCCCCAGGCTAAGACTCCCTCTGCAAACCCTGCCCTTCCCTGTCAGTGTCGCAGCCAGCTCCAGGGGCTGTGCCATGGAGCTGGGGGTGAGACTCTCCCCCCAGGACCCACCTCCCGCTCCCTTCCCCCTGCACTTCCCCGCTGGTACCCAGCAGGGGTGGGAGGGCAGGCAACCAAGGCCAGGGAAGAGACACAGGGCAGCCTGTTCCAGCCCAGGAGACAGAGGGCGCCTCTGTCCTCTCCTGGCCCCTTGCCTCACTGGGTGTCTGTGAAGGGGTGGAGCCGCTGTGGGGGCAGCGGGGGAAGGACTGCTAAAGACAGGTCTCTCACACAGCCCGGGAGCCACACTTGCAGCCTCGGCCATTTGTGCAGAACCCGCTCCCGTCTCAGGCCCAGGCCAACTGTGAGTATCCCGCCCAACCTGGCCTAGGTCCTTGGCCTGGCCAGCTTGGGGGAAAGGGGACTTCAGAGGGGGTCCCAAGAGTGAGGGACGGGTGACGATAGCATTCTGCATCGTGGTGCACTTAGGGCCTGAGAGGAATTAGGGTAGGGGCAGCTCAGGATCTGGGGGAGACGGTTTGGAAGGTGGTAAGTTGGGGGTGAGTAAGGGTCAGAGTTAGAGCTGGGAGCTCAGTGAATGGGGAGCCCATCACCCAGCTTCCAGGCCACCAGCCCCTCCCACACAGAGCCCGGGAGTCCCCTGCCAAGTCTCCTCAGTCTCTCATTGTTGGGGAAGGGACACAGCCTTGCCTTGCTTCCCATGGAGTAACAACAACAGAAGAGAACAGCTGTTCCTACCCACTTCCAGACTCAGTCTCTGCCACCCCTGCCCAGCCTTGCCAAGAGCCGGGCCCAGGGAGGTCTGGGGGCCGCAGAGCAAGGGCCACATGATTATCAGGAAGAGAGGACCCTTGGTTCTGAGCCCTCTCCTAACTCTTCCTTCACAAGACCTCCCCTTTGTCTTCCTCTTTTCTCAGCCCAGACCCCCTCCTCTTTCCCCAATTCCTTCCTCTGTAGTTTTCCTATTCCCCCAACCCAGGTCCTCCCAGAACTGCCCCCACATAAAATCCCAGGCTGCTGGAGAGCTTGGGGCAACCTCCAGCTGTCCCTCCTGATAGGACCGGTAACTGAGCCACCAGCATCCCTCCCTCGAGCACCCCCTTATCCTCTCTATCAGCCCCGTCTTGGGTTCCGTCGCCCCCACATCTCTGTGACAATTGCTTCTCATGTCCGGAGTTCAGGTGACACTCACAAGGGCCTTATTGAAGAGCTGGGATGTCATCCGATCAGAGCCCATTGTCCACTCCCCCAGTCCTGGGGAAGGATGGGGATACCTGATCCCAGACACCTGAGCTGCCCCTTGGGGCTGTGGAGGGCCTGACTGTCCCAGGGTCAAAGGACAGAGGCTCCCCAACTTGGCAGTCTCCTCTCCTCAACAGACCCCTCCATTCTTCTCCTGTTCTCTCCCAGGCCCTTGAACTCAAAAGACTTCGTGCACTCAGTTTTTATCTCCCCGACACATACCAGCCCCATTCCCTGCTCCCACTGTACCCACATCCACCAGGCAACCAGGCACCAAGGTCTACAGATTCCCTCCCCCTCTCCAGGGCTCAGTCATTCTTTTCTCCCTTCCTGCCACCCACCCGATGGAGGCGATAATTTTGCAGAGAGGAATTAAACTGAAGGCACTGGGAGGCACAGCCCAGAGAGGTCAAAATGACATGTGGAAGAGAAGAGGGCTTGAAGGACCAAAAAAGACCCCTACAAATTGCTGGCAGGAAAATCAGAAACAGACTCCGTTGCCCCCAAAAGCTCTGGGCCACCCACTCAGGCTACCACCCTCTGTCAGGCTCACCAAGGGAGCCAGACTCAGTCCTTGCTGCAGTGGGCCCCAGAGTCCAGGCTACAGGGACGCCAGCCCACCACCCCAACGGCAGAACTGGCAGAACTTGGTCGTGCTAGGCCTACAAGGTCCAGGGTAAAAATAGAGCCGGCAGAAGCCATCCTGGTCCTGTGACCACCCCAGCCTGCCCCACCCTCGTCTCTGCCCAGGCAGTCAGGAGCCACTGCGGACGCCCACTGCAGGCCTCCGGAGCCAGCCCAGTTCCGGCTGCTTGCTCTCCATGCCCAACCCTGACTCCCTTTGGCTAGGGTTCAGACTGAGGGATGCAGAGGTCTGCAGTTAGCTGTGCTGGGCCTTCCCCCACGCTGTAAAATCTCAATGAAAGATAAGCGGCAGTAGGACTCCCACCTCAGGGTTATCTGGCTGTGGAACCAGGTCCAGGCCTGAGCAGTCCCCGGGCCTGGCCCCCAGCTCACCCCTGTGCTGTGTGGATGGACTAGGCGCACTGCTGCGATGGGCTCCGAGCTGGAGACTGCGATGGAGACCCTCATCAACGTGTTCCATGCCCACTCAGGCAAGGAGGGGGACAAGTACAAGCTGAGCAAGAAGGAACTGAAGGAGCTGCTGCAAACCGAGCTCTCTGGCTTCCTGGACGTGAGCATGGAGTGGGAGGAGAGGGTGGGTGGGCAAGAGGTGGGGCACTGGGGGCGCCTCCCTGCCATTCCTCCCAGCCCCCACAGCTCAGTCCAGCCACCCCTCCTCTTTCATCTGGGTCTTCCAGGCTCCCCTGTGTCAAATCCAAATGCCCTGGTTTACTGCCTATCTGTGAAGCACTAGGTCTTGTGCAGTTTCCTCAATGAGGTTCACGGTCAAGAAGGGAAACCCTGAGCTCCAGGAAGTACACAGAGCCTTAAAAAGGTACCAGAAAGGGTTAGTAGGAGATCAGTGACCACACCGAAGTAAGACGGTTCCTTGAAGAGTGGCAGTTGGGCCAGGGGCTTCCACTGGAAGATGACTGGGGTCAATGAAGACAATGTGGAGCACGCCCAGTAGTTCCATTTGACGGGAGAGTGCGGAGAAGTAGGCTGCAAACATTAACAGGGGCACAGTGAAGAAGTCACTCAGATACGGCAGAACTGGCAGCTCTGCATTCAAATTTTGGTCCTACTACTTCCTTTTTCTTCTCCTGCTTCAGTATTGGGCATTAAACCCAAGGGTGCTTTATCACTGAGTTACGCTCCCAGCCCTTTTTATTTTTTAGGACAAGGTCTCACTAAGCTGCTGAGGCTGGCCTCAAACTTGTGATCCTCCTGCCTCAGCCTCCTGAGTCACTGGGATTATGGGCGTGTGTCACTGAGACCAGCCCTGCCACCTTTTTTTTTCTTTTTGGTACTTAGGATTGAACTCAGGGGCATTCAACCACTGAGCTACATCCCCATCCCTTTTTACTTTTTGAGACAGGGTCTCACTAAGTTGTATAGGGGCCTTGTTAAATTGCTGAGGCTGGCCTCAAACGTGGGATCCTCAGTCTCCTGAGCTGCTGGGATGACAGGTGTGCATCACCACACCTAATGTCAGCCCTGCCGCTTTCTGCGTGACTTTGGGCACATTTATTTAACAAAAATCATCCATGATTCTTCTTCAGAATGGAATTAATAAAAAGAGCCCCGTACTGCTTGAATTAGAATTAAAGTAGACAGTGCCTGGAAGGCTCCTAGTGTAGTGCTTGTCACACTGTAGACAATTAGCTTATGGTGAGTGACGTTATCATGAACTCTTCCAGTTAAGGCGTGTCTTCTGAAGGCAACAGGAGCCCGTGAGCCTTCTCGGATGGAAAGCAGAAGGTCCCGTGATTAGAGGCTGTCTGACCTCTTGCTCATGTCTGCCTTGCTCTCCTCGACTACCTCCTGCCCCTGACTCAGTGATGCACACCTCCTCTCCCTCTTCTTCCTCCACAGGCCCAGAAGGATGCAGATGCTGTGGACAAGGTGATGAAGGAGCTCGATGAGAATGGAGACGGGGAGGTGGACTTCCAGGAGTACGTGGTGCTGGTGGCTGCTCTCACAGTGGCCTGTAACAACTTCTTCTGGGAGAACAGTTGAGCAGACAGCCCAGTGGGCAGCGCCCTTCCCCTCCCCCTGCCGGCCGCCCCTTCACTTGCTTTCACCTCACCCCACTTATCCCTGTCCACATTCTCACCATTGCCCACCTCCCTCGATACACACCAAGGGCGCAAGAGTAGCAGTCCAGGCCTGCAACTAATCTTTCATTAAAGGCTCCGCTCTCAGCAGCCATCAATGTCTGTCTCCTCTGGGGTCTGGAAGTGGGTGGAGAAGTGAGAGTTGATTACTCCCAACTCCCCCGATTTTGGAAAGAGTTCCCTGTGCACATCATCTTCCTACGTGAAGAACGCTCAAGACTTACAAATGTAGGGGTCCAAGGTTCCAACTGGAAGAGACATCAGCTTCTCAACTACAAAACCAGAGGGAAAAAAAGCTCCTTTCAACCTTCAACCAACCTTTACTGAGGTCCTACCACGTGCTGAACATTGTGTGGGAACTGGGGACACACCAGTGAGCAAAATAAAACTCTCCTTACCTCATCAGAATAAAGTCTAGCAAGGGCGCAGGACCATTAAACACACCCACACAAACTAAGTGCCAGGAAAAACAGGGTCCCAAAGTGTACATGGGGCAGAGGAAAGTGCTGAAGATATGTTCATTCATTCATCCCTGAAACATTTAAGCACTGTGTGTACCGAGACTTAAGAAAAATCCCTTTACAGGTCTGCACCAAAATCTATACGGAGGGCTGGGGACATGGCTCTGGGGCCGTGTGCTTTCCTGGCATGCAGGAGGCTCCGGGTTACATTTTAAAATTCCACATGGATGGTAGTTTGGGAGAAAGACATGGAAGGTTTACCCCAAAAGAAGGATCAGACCAAGTTCAGGCCAAATGGGAAGGGGAAGAAGTGGAGCTGAAAACAGGGAGGGATACGGGCGGGCGCAGGTGTGCAGTTAGCTAGAGGAGGGCTCCCAGCACTAGGCTCCCGGGCCCTCTCAGGTCCATGCCACTCACAACCGATGAGCTGGGAACTGGGAACGGGATGAGGCAGGAGCCAGTCAGCTGGGCTCGACGGTCCGGAAGAGACCGAGGCGAGCCACACACACAGGCCTTTAGACACGCTTTCTTAGGGGCAAGAGAAGGGCTTCAGGGAATATGCGCGCTTTTCACCTGGACCAGAGCCCACCACCCCTCCAAGTGCAGTGCAGCCCTGCCGGAAAGCGAAGCTCCCACATGCCCCGCCCACTAGACCACACCCCCCATGGGCGGAGCACCATAGCCCCTCCTCCACCGCAGCGCTCCTCCGACTCCCGCGCAGGCGTAGTGCATCCGCCCCGCCCCTAGCTGCGTGCGCATCTAAACGCCTGACGTAAGTGCGCAGACGCCATTTTAGCCGGTCCTACTCCGCACGGAGCGTGGCAGCCATTTTGTTTTGGACACCGAGCAGGAGTTGGCGGCGGCAGCTGTGGAGGCAGAGACGAAAGGCAGAGAAGGGCAGGCCGGGCGACCAGGCGGATTGGCCGGCTAGGTAGTCAAC